AAAAAAAAAAAAATTCAAAAAGATCAGTAGATCCATAAAATGTTTATGACAATGGTAACTTTCCCTGTAAAAGGTGGGTGGAATTGATTTTTCATTCTAGCACCATTTCTTGTAGCCTATAATATCATTTTGTAATCTAGGTATCCTTAATTTTATACTGCCCTTCAGGAAATGTATCACTGCTCAGTGCTCCCCAATACTAAAGATATTTATGAGGTGCGGTTCCTAATTTTTCACCAATGGCTCAGTTTGAATTGTCCAGGTTTGTGACAGGTTCAGTTTATGGATTAAGGACAGGCTAAAGGTCAGGGGCATTTGGTGAAAAACACTTTTTGTTTTTAATTTGTATTTGGCCTTAGATGCTAAAAGAACATTATTTGTAATGCAAACCACACATACATACATACATACATACATACATACATACATATAAACAGTATATGTGGTCCCGTGGCTAACCTATGTTTTTCAATGCTTTCTATTTCAGAGAGGAAAAAAGACTGATAACATAGTCCTTGCTCAGCTTGAACTGTCTGCAATTGATGGACTGGAAGAACTTCCTCTATACCCAAGAAGTGCTAAAAAATCCTCAGCAATTCCTTCCTGGTGTCGTTGTTTGAAATGTCTTCCAGAAAATGCATTTGAAGATCAGCTCTGCTGCCGATATCAAAATGGGGAATGCATTACAAACTCGGAAATGTTTAGGAAGCTGGTCCTGCAGAGACTGGCTCTGGTGCACATCCTGCAATACAACAATCCTCTGATAAACAGGCATTCCATAGGCAAAAAACAGCTAGCAGAGTGCGCTCGAAATCAGTATGTCCAATGGCGCTTTGGGAGCAATAAGAATATGATGGACTTTGCAAAGATACCAAGCTGTTGTAAACATGAAATAGAAAACACGTTCAATGGTGATGCATCTGAAACCTCCTTGCAACATGCAGATAAAGACACAAAAATGCAGTCCGCCTCTGATACCTCCAGGAAACCTCTGCTGAAACAGCAGCCTATGGCAACGCTACCTTAATAACAGATGTGCCGCCCCAATGGGGCATAGAATATGTCATAAAAGTTTATATAGATGAGAATTTATATAGATTGTTTTGTCCATATCATTTTCCTATGGACGTTTGTATAGTTAGTTATATGCTGCCATCTAGTGGCCTTTTGTTGTAATGTACATGTTTTTCTGTAATTATTCCTCATGTGACGATGTATTTTCCCCTAGTGTACGCCCCTTCCTTCTTCCTGTGTGCAGTACTTCCTGTGTCATGGCCAAAGTTAGCAAGCCACATGTAACAGGACACATATATAATCTGCACAGTACGTAGGAAAGGCATCATTTTCTGACCGCACAATACTATAACCGTTCATCTGCTGTTCCTATCATCTGCTGTAACCCTGATGTTAAAGAATAAACACCTCTTTTGAATGAATCGGTATTGACGAGTTCAGCTATCTGACGAGGATATTTATTGGGCCCGTGGCAAGTGCCCTCTTTGCCCTGCGTTAAAGACGGCCCTGGTTAATACTGCCAAAGAGGGGAAACATTTAAACTGCAGCCACACTTGGCACAGATGACTTGGTCACAGAAATCCTGACATAATAAAGAAAATAGTTCAGAATGACTAAGCAAGTGGAAAAAATATTAGCCCATGTGATCAAACCGTGAAATGTACCAGCTGCATTAAAGGAAAAATGACAAGAAAGGCTTTTCCAAAGCAGCGCAACAGCAGAGCTCCAAAACTTCTGGATTTAATTCATTCAGATCTATGCGGTCCAATGGAAAAATTATCACTTTTATTGATGTTTACTCCAGATATACTACATGGAATCTGCTACACAAGAAAAGTGAAGTGCCAGAGAAACTTGAACAGTTTTTGGCTCAAGTAAGTAACAAATTTGGTAAAATGCCTAATACATTGCGGACAGACAATGGAAGTGAATATACAAGTGGACACACAGACAATTCTCAGAAAGCATGGGATAATGTTTCAAACTACTGTGCCACACAACCCAGAGCAAAACAGGGTTGTAGAGAATGAACCGTACTCTATGTGAGAGTGGGAGGAGCATGCTGATTGATGCAGTCCTGCCTACCACATACTGGGGAGAGGTAATTATGACTGCATGCTATATCCAGAACCGGCTACCAGGTAAATCAACTGAGAAACACCATATGAACTATGGAATGGAAGAGCACCGGACTTAAAGCATATAAAACATTTCTGGATGCAAAGCTTATGTGCACATCCCAAAGGTAAAACGTACAAAATGGGATGTGTGTGCAAAAGAAGGTGTACTTGTGGGATACAGTGACTCTCAAAAGGGATACAGACACAAACAAGGTAACTGTTAGCAGAAGTGTTATAGTTGATGAAACCTCATTGTGTTCAAAATTTCATGTACTGGCACAAATGCTTGAAACTGAGGGAAAATCCACTTCAATGTCACACAAAGACATGGGACAGAAATGAACATAGACAATACAAATTCTGAAAAAGAAGAAGCCACACAACAAGAGTCTTCAGTCGGGAAGTCCATAAGAAGCAACAAAGGCATCCCAGCAAAGCGTCAATCTTACGTTGCTTGTGAAGCATTAGAGCCAGATTCATGGGATGAGACTTCCAACCCATGAGAAACAAAAGTGAATCAGAGCTGCTGATGAAGAGATGACATCTCTTAATGAACTGCAGACATGGACACTTTCAGAGCTACCTCATGATAAGCATGCAATCGGATCCAAAATGGGATTGACATAAGGAGTAGTTATTGAGTGGGGGTGTTAGAATATACATTGCTGTGTTAATAGCAACAACTCCTGCAGTATACAATTTCTGTCACTAGATGGCAGTGTTTATAACTTATGTTATATATCTGTATGGTATATAGTCTGTTGTATTGAAAAAGGTAGAGAATAAAGCTGTGGCTTCCTACCTGTTTTCTAGCCATATGTGCAACATGCATATCTGACTGTGTGCTTGTGTTTTTTCTGTGAGGCTGTGCAAGAAGTTCCAACAAAATTCACTCCTGTAAGACTTATCATGGGAAAAGGGTGTCTCCACTGAAGCTTTATCACCAATCCTTTTTTCCACAACAAACCAAAGTCCAATTGTCACAAAATATTCTTTCAATTATTTCCAGAAAAACAAAGAAAGCCACTTTGCAATCCAAGAAAACTTTAATAAACCTTATGATGTGTATAATTACCTCCCATACTTAAATGTTAGATGTTCAGCAGAAGCAAGACAAATCCTTGTCCTCAGGAGTGCTTTTCCAGAGATAAAGGCAAATAAGGAAGTGCAATCACCCGTACCAGAACTTGTAGCACAGCAATGCCTTGGTACGGTGCAATCGTAAAATACAGTGCATGTACTGGCTTGCGTTCTGGAGCGCGCAATCGCACTGTGGCCAGGAGGCGTGGCTGTGGTGCTATTCACTTGAATGGCACCAACACGCCCCCTCCTGCCCCAGAATGTAGGGAGGCTTAATTATGCGATCCAGTGCATTCTGGCCACTAACCGTGCTGGAACGCACTGTAGGTGGTGTGAAAAAGCCCTGAAGGAGTTGTAAAGTCCCAGCATATACGTTCCTGTTATAACATCAGCATTGTAATAGGAATACATACTAGAGTTGCTTTTGATAATCCTATCAAAGCTTACGTTAATATTTTATGTAGTGAGTACTGCCTTCTGTCTGCCCATCACTTTCATCAACTTCCTGATTCCCAGTGTGCTTTGTGTCTCTTTTCCTGCTCCTTGATGTGGTGCATTCTCAATTTCTCAAGACTACATATCCCATCATGCATTGCTTTCAGCAAGCAACAATAATGTTACATTGTTCAGATGTTTATAGTGGTTTGTAGTTCAGACAGCAGGCTTAGTTAGAGTGGTAACACAAGGAAGTGCTTATCCACAGGGCTGAGTGAAATTGTGTAAGTGCATTGAGGAAGTACATCCTGTGGTTATCTTCACTGTGTGTGTTATCTCCACTGTGTGTGTGTTTTAAAGTAGCCACTGCTCTAAGCTCACTGCCGTGATGGACTTAAATTTCACGTTTAGTTTACTCATTTGTATTGGGATTATAGTCTATATAGTCCATCACGGCAGCGAGCTTGGAGCTGTGGCTACTTTACAACACACACAGGGACCATAGGGAGCAAAAGTAGCCCCCCTCCAGAAGCAGGGACATTGCGGTCAGGGGAGGCAGGTGAGACAGAGCCTCACCCAGTATTATGAAGAAAAAAGGTGCCAGCTTCAAGTCTGAAGCTGCCAGCTTTTTCTCCATTCAGAGCAGCTTGTTACAGGTTACACAGCAGGGAAAGCCTCCCCGCTGTATAACCTGTCATGGACGGAGTACTGCCTGTTAATTACAGGTAGCGCTGCATCCAGCTTTTGACAGGTAGTTAGGTTACACAGCAGCGGGCTTCCCCACTGCAAAGTGCCATTGCAAAGCGCCATTGGTCCAAGCTGTCCAATCAAAAAAAGAAGAAAAAAAAAACCAGTGAGGACATCGATCTCGATGCCTCACCAGTAACACACAGGTGAGGGACAGGGAGGCTCCTCCCTTCCTACTTCCCACACAGCTTGGTTACTGATTTGGGGGTGGGGCGCCGGTGGGATGGGGCAGGGCTTCGGCAGGAAGAGGTGGAGCTTCAGTGGGACATGGGTGGAGCTTCAACAGGCTGGGGGATGCCTCACCCAGCACAGAAGGCACTTCATGTCACTGTCCAGAAGGACGGACAGTGTGAGCACCAATTCAGAGGTGATTTGAGGATCTACAGCCGAGTTATACACAAATAAGATACATTTTTGTTAATAGTGAAGGTACTTGAATGCATTTTTAAGATTTAACTCCTGAGTTTAGTGTTACTTTAACCTATACCAGTCCTTTCATGGTGCAGTTTTCTCCAATGGATTTGTTTACTTTTCATGGTGTCAAATCACTGATAATCATAAAATAAATGCAAGTAGGATGTTTGCCATGCCATCTTCCGGAATGCCACCATGTTTGTTCATGTGAATATCAAGCTCAGCACAGCTGAAGGCATATAAGTCTTTCACAGATAGCATTTCACTGACTGGCAAGTGGCCATCTCCTTTGAATTTAGGGTCACACACAATCATAGGTGTACATGGCACACCCTAATCACCCCAAGCGCAACACCACAATTTCAACAGCGGGCGCTGTGTGATTTTAGTCACCGAGCCAATGAAGAGATCAAAAAGATCTCTCTGTGACTGGCTCAGCGATACAGAGCGCAGCTGAACCTACATTCCTCACAACCACAGCCGCATACCTGGGAAGCTGTACCACTTCTGGAAGAAGTAAGCAGCAGTTGAAGAGGTGGGAACTGGGATGCATCAGGTCTGTGCAGTGGTGGATCTGGGGGGAGGGGGGGGGGGGAATTGCCATTCCCCCCCCCCCCCCCCCCCCCCCC